AAGTTTTCGGTGAACTAGAAAACCGATTGTGAGGAGTGACGTTGATTGGTGAGCGTTGAAAACCGATACTGTGAGGTGTAAACGTTATTCGGGTGAACGTAGAAAACCCGGTTGTGATAGTGGATTTCTCCCCGGGAGTGGGGAGCGGAGACGTAGGACGGAAGGTCCGAACTCCGTGATCATATCTTGTGTTTGAGTGTGCTTTGGCGTTTATTTATACTTGTGTTTATAATTCTTGTCGCCATTGTCATTAGCTCATTATTTATATGATCCACTATCTAGTTCATATTGTTTACCCTTGTGTTAGTTTATATATCCTTGCATATATCATATAGTATACCTCTTTGCTAGGATATATCACCTTGTGTATATTGCATATTCTTGGACTTAACTCTTTGTATATCTATCTTGCAAGAATATAACTTGTTAATATATTAATTGGCATTTAATCGGATTAGATTAGCATAAGACCCTAATCACCCCCCTCTAGGGTCTAACAGGTACCGTACCGCGGAATTGAGTGGTCCAACTGTGTTGACAGCTACAATAAAGTGAGCCTAATTCATTGCTTTTTGCTGAGCAGTGCTGAGGGTCTGCTAAATCAGCTACAGTAGCACCAACTCAGCTACAGTGCCACGCTCATTTTACCAACCAAACAGAAGAGTTGATTGTAATACTGTAATACCTGACACCTACAGTAAAACAACCCAAAAAAGTGGCAATCAAACAGGCCCTGACAAGAGATGGTCTGCAGTCTTCTGGCATTTTCGGAATCCTATAGTTACTGACAAATACAAAGTCGGACAATATAAAGTTCTCCTCTAGTAACTAACCATCCATATGGAAAACAAAGTGACTGAAGCTCTTCGCTTGGCACAAGATCACACAGTCAGCTATTTGCTTGCAGGCCAAGATTCAAATATCGTAGTAGATTTATTATGAACCATGCATCGTGTGGGAGAAAACCTCAAACGCTACAATATGAATTACTGCAATGTTGAAACTATACATTTAAATGACTTGGGTTAAACTTTCAAAGCATCATGCTCATATAATTTCACATGCACTTTGGCAAATTATTCCTAAGCTGCGCGTTAATGTGGCAAATTGTCCAATTGCAAACGTCAACTTCTCAATAGACAAAAAAGGTTTTCTTAAATATCAGTCCCTTGCATCTCTCATATTTTGAACTTGTGCCTTCAAATAATTGAAACTGCTATTACGTCCTCTAATTGTTATTTCTGCTCTTGATTGGAGGGACAATTTTCAAAATAACTAAGAAATGGGGGCCCTAATAGCAATTTCGACGATTTGAAGGTATAATTACAAAATAACTCATGAGAATTGGGAGATTAATAGCAGCTATAAGGATTTGAGGACTATTTTCAAAATATGAAAGATTTAAGGGCTTAATATCTGGAAACATAAAAAAAAAAGAAGTATAAAAAATGAACTTTCTAAAATGGAGGGGGGAAACGTAATTAAACTGGTAACAATAAAAGTCTTCTAATAATAGTTTGGGTTGCTGAAAACTCGTCAGTTACAACAAAGAACCCATCGAGTACCAAAAGTTTGAACCCAAGGGTGTTCAGTTAGGAGGTGAGGGACACGGGCACGGGCACGGGCACGACACACTGAGGCAGCTAAAACATCAGTCGCATCATGGGAAGTATGCCCCTATATAACGTTGGACTGCTTATACAGTTATACTCAAGTCTACTTCAATTCTTACTGCATCACTGTAATGAATCGCGCATTGTTCACTCAGATTTTCACCGCAAGAGTAAATCTGAGATCAGTTGAAATGGTCATGGATTTCACGCACTTAACACGTGTCAGTCGGGGGGGTGCGGCGCCATTCTACACGTGTTAGATTTCTCTAATAGCTTCTCTGTTGGAGGGCTATTTTTCTGAATAAGAATGCAATAAAAATATGCACATGGATGTGGGGAAAATGTACCATGATATCCACTTCTTCTCTCTTCTGCTTATGATTTAGGCGTGTTTCCAAGATTGTTAGTTGCGAGGTTTTGTAAAGTATATGCTAAGTTGCTTATTCATTGAATATGGGTCTGTTTTTGGTGGATTAAAATGTTGGTGGATTAGCATGTGTTTGGAAGATGATTGTGTTCAAGAATCTGTGGACATGCAAGTAAAATTCACATTCGAAAATATGCATTGTTGTCAAATAAACTATCACAGTGTAGGTTTATATCTTATTTCGTTTAACCTGAAGATTAATCTAGCCCATACATCATGTCTCGAAGATGGAGCCTCTTTCTTGGAGTAAGTGTATAGTGATTGAGGCACTCTCTTCGAGGCGTGATGTAGGGGTCAGATTTGGCTACCTCACTACCAAGTTCAATAGAAAAACTTGGTATCAAGGTTCTTCATAACAAAAATTTAAGTATCACATATTCAAAATCTTAATCATCATAAATATATAATTGTACATGTAAAACAACGAATTAGTACATTTTCCAATCAATTCTTTTGATTAGGAGTTTCTCTCTCGTGGCTTAAAGAAATATGAAAATATTTTTAAATTAGTCATAATTGATTAGTTGATAGTTATGTACCCAAAAATACAGTTGCACAACGCCTGAGGATCTCCGTGTTCATGCGGACATCATCAAGGATTCTGCAGGAAAACAACAATGTGAGCTCCAACTACGTGTGTATATAGATGTTACACCGAGTAAAGTATGGAGCATATTTTTGCAGTTCTTACTTGCATTTTTAATTAAATGCCACAAAGTCCTCTTACAAACATTTTTAATTAAGTGTGTTTGATTGTTCATGTTCTTTTCTTGTTGTATCAGACGTTGAGCCTCTCGCTGCACGTTGGAGCCACCAACATAGTTTCTCTTCAATGTTGATCCTGACCTTGCCATGGAATACTACCCAGAATTTGTCGCGGATCTGATTGTCAGCGAGGATATTTATCCTATTGGTTATCTTTTTCAAGTATTTTGGTGGATGAATGGGAATTTGATTTTGTTCATGACATTAATAATGAGATTGCTATTTAATTATATGTTTAATGATGCACTTTTGATATTCTGTAAGTGGCCATAACTCTAAGAAGGCATTATGGGAGGTAAATGGCCATAACACTCAGTCCGAGTGCACCTAGCGAAAGGAAAAAATAATAATAATAACTTGACCAACTAATTTCTCATAACTACAATTACGCCATTGCATTTTGATGAGCTAATTAAGAGAGAATTTGAATGGGAGCACTTTGGCAATTATACTTTTCACTTTTAGAATAGTATATAGTATAGTATTAGATTAGATAGATAAGTATGCATACTGTATATTTAATTATAAATTTGAAATGGTTTATGTTTCTATTTCTGAAAATCTTCAGCTGAAGCGAATAAAGGTGGCTTTGGTAGCCAAACTAAACCGCGGAGAGGAAGAAACTTGATGCTGGAAGAGTTGGAACAAGCTACCAAGGATTTTGACGAACAAAATCTCATAAGCATGCAAGGCAAGTTTTGAGACAAGCCGAGGACATCAAAAACAGGAATGCATGGAAGAGAAAATAATGGATTTGGACACATAAATAGGTTTGTGCACAAGTTATTCAACAAGTGTTTAAAGTGAACTTAATTTAGCTTGTCTGATTAATGAAATCATCAAATAGAAAAATATTTCATGAAAGCTATATTGATAAGAAGAGGGGTTGGGATGCGTGCCGTTTAAAGTTAGTTTTGGTAAATGAACGTGGGTGAAAGTGAAAAAGACCAAAAAGTGAAAATCTGTGAAAACGGAAAAACAAGTTGATTTTTTTTTATTATGTCTTTGTTTAATTTTTCTGTCAAAGCAGGTTCTCCGTCTGTGTGGAATTGGGCAGCGGTATACAATTGCTAGTTATTTTGGTATCTCCCAAATGGAAGTGTAAGTGATCATCTATATGGTAAGATTTGATTTATATGAGTCACATATTAATTTGCAAAGAGATTGTATTTGACAATAATTGTATTTTCATGTAAGAAAGAAAGAAGGACGATAACTAGTCATTGTAACCGATAACGGGAAAGAATTGAATGGCTAGGCTTGAATTTAAATGAAGGCCTCTGCTGAAAGTAAAATTTCTCTCTACAAAGGATGTCATGTCACAATGGTGAATTATGCGCATACATTCCATTATAAATGAGGATGCGCCCTTTGATTCTGGGGGACTACTATCAAAAGCCTTAAGTGATTACTGTGCTATTTCTCTTTTTTTATGACAAACATTTCTAGTGATGTTTCATGCTAGCTCCTAATTGTTCTCTGGGTAGAGTGAATTGATGAAGAAATCAAGCAGGTGGTTAGGAATGACATATACTCTCCTTTTGTAATTAGAATGCGTTGACACTCGATATTCCTCGTGGTGAATTGAAAAACTTCATGTATGGTTGTTCTACGACCTCCTTTTATCGGAAATTTTCTATCAAAATTTACAAGTCATAACGGTGTACGTATGCTCAATTAATTAGAAAATCTCCATCTAAACAATATTCCCAAGTGTGCTG